CATACCTGCAGGACAAACGTGGATACTCATTTTCTCCTAGAGCAGGAAAGTTAAATGATACAGTGTGCAGCGGAAAATACTGTCGCATAAAAACTCTGGGAGGAAACTCGAAACTCTCAGAAGCGGTCAGAGCATCACATTCCCTAAATTTAATGCAGTTGTTTAAATCAGTTAGAGACTCTTCAGAAACCAGAGAGCTGTCTGGCCCAGATGCGTGGATCTCAGGTGCTGTCCTTCACCAACGGCATTAACGTCACCTGTAACTTGATAAAAATGCAAAATTCCTGGGTCTGCCTAGACCTACTGAACCAGGAGGATGGGGCCCAAAATTGTGATTAACAAGCCGGCAAGTGCTTTAAGCTGGAGAGCCCGCCTCAGTCGGGGACTCCAACGCCTGCTCACAGGCAAGTGCAGGACCTGCGCTTGTTAACTCCCATGGGAAACGCTCTGCATACTGACTTGGCTCCCACCTCCCTACTCGATGCAGTCCGCAGAGGGGGTGGACTCCGAGGTGAACACGATGCAGAATGAGGTTAAGAACCAACGACCTACGTCCTGGGCTCTCAAAGTGTGCTTCCCAGAGCAGCAGCAGCAGGAGACCTGTCATACATTCGCGAGTACAGCCACACCTACTGAGTCAGGAACTCTGGGAGTGGGGCTCCTGCCGCAATCTCGTGCCCTAAGTTCCCCAGGTGATTCTGATACACCTCAGAGGTTGAGAACCTCTGCTCCGAGTGATACTATGTCCTAAGCTGACAACACATGAAATGAATCTGAATTCTGTGGAGAAGAATAAGTAACAGAGACAATAACGTGGGCACTCAGGATACGTCGCCTGGAGCTGGAGTCTCTCTCGTCTTTACAAACCTCGAAGTCAAGGTGCCTTACTTTCCAGGTGAGCCAGCGGGAGTTCTCAAGCTGTCCCCTAAGCACAGCATGACTGGTGAACAATGAAAATGCTTCCTGAAAAGCTCTGGTTTTAAACAAAATATACATAAAGTCCCCACCCAGAGCCACAGTTGAGAAATCTTACAGTAGGAAGCCAAAAATGGACTAGAAATGTTTGCGAAAACAGCAGCAGTTACTGAAGGTGTCTCGGGAGTGTTACACCTTGTCCACTGTCCCTTATAAAGGCGTCAATAACCATTGGGCGTTGTTCCCTTGGCACAGAGCGGGGCTCTCTGAAGGTGAGAGGGAGGAGGTAGTGAATCTCCCCAGAGGTTAAAGCCACGTCTCAACTCAACTGAGATTACTCAACACTCTCATTAGACTACCGAGGCGAGGAGGGGGGCCACGACTCACTACATGCCCCAGCTTTTGCACGCACTTCTCCCACCGAATACTTCTTGGGCACCCATCGCGTACCAAAATCATTAACATCACCTCCAAATACTAAGATGGTACCATGACTTAAAAAAAAAAAAAAAAGATTCTTTGTGTGTAATTCTAAGGTCAATGTAATGACTGTGACTGCTTCCACTTGCCCAAGGAAACGTGCCATGTTAAAAAGAAAAGGGGAGGGGGACAGTTTAAACTTCCCAGGCAGCCATTTTAAAACACTGAGAACCATTCGTATTATCCCCTAATAACTGCTCTAAATTTCAGTAGGATGCCACATGAAGTGTTCAAACCGTTTGATTTCTAACTAGGATAGCAGTTCCATGTTACCGCAGGGCTGAGTGTCTTCTTCCTGCTCCGCGCATGCGTCGTGATACGTGGGGACGCACCTGTTCGTTCAGTAGGTGCGACAGGCTTACACCCACCCGTTCTATCGCACTTGAGCATAATTCTACTACTTGTAATGTAGAATTTGAGTTTTATCTTTCTTTCTGAGTTACACTATTAACCAATTTTATAATTTACTCAAGTCAAGTCCTCAGTCAGAAATTATAAAACTGTTTCAGTGAGAAATGCAGTTAACTTCTCAATCAACCCCTGCCTGCTCTGCGGCATTATTTCGAAGAACGTGGGAGAAAGTCCTGACGACGCACCTGAATTTCAGCCATTCAGGCAAACAGCACAGAAGCGAGGACGGCGAGGGTCAGGGGTGGGGAAGGCTGGCTGGAGGAAGCAGCCAGTGAGGCCGGGGCATGTCGGTGAGCCACTTAGGGATTTCTTGGTGGTTTTCGCCTTAACTTCTAACTCTTCCTATTCTCTTTTTTTTTTTTGGTAACTCATGTCTTTCTTCTTCTCTTTTATGTCTAGGGAGTGTCATATTTACAAGGGCGCTTAAGATAACATCTGCTTCAACCCCAGTTTATAAGTGGAGAAAAGTGAGGCTCAGAAAAGGCAAAGGCCTTACCGAGATCACAAGCCTGACTCAGAGGCAGGTCTGTCCCACCACTCCCCTGCCTCTTTAGAAAATCCCCTGCAAAAAATTCTAGCACACTGTTCTTAAACTTTATTCTGCTACGCAGCATTAAAGAACACCACCACATAACACAACACACTTCAGCGTTTAAGCAGTACACACAAAACCACATATTTCCCCTGCTGGACGCTTTAATTATAACATTTATCTTTTTAAAAAATGACCTCATAATCTGATTCACTGACGAATTAGGGAAAAATAGATCAGTTCACTACCTGGTAAGCTGCAACTATCAAGCGGCATCACAGCCACCACTGCATTCACTGCCTGCACACGCCAAGCACACCTTAGCGCACGCTTCTTCCGGTCGGAGGCCTTGCTCCGGGCCTATCACAGCTTCTCAATTAAATGCAACATAGTAAGGGGTAAAATTTCTCAAATTTTCTTGCCATTTCCCTCAAGTTCCTGGGAGTGCTACAGGGCCGTAAAAATGATGGTCCTATTTACAAATAATATGTGACTTACGTCTTCACTTTTCCCCCGAAAGTTTCAGAACACAATTTCTGGACTACACTTACTTATGAAAAAACATGGATATTTTCTACTTTATAAATTGATCCTACCCTTGGTTTTACAGATAAAATAAAATTTCAAAACCTTATGCCACTCCAACGAAAGTCTGGTTCGTGATTTAATTAAGAGCATGGGTTTGGAGTGAGATGGCTGGGTTTCAACCCCAACTCGGCCACATGCCAGCAGGGAGGACGAAACCAAAGGATGCCGTCCCGTCTAGCCTTCTCACGCCCCTCATTCTGCCTGTAGGACCCTTCCTGTTCTTTAAGCGTCTGCCCAGATGTCACTTTTTCTCTATAACCACAGCACTTCCTAAGTCAAAACACTTTGCACGGATGTTTGAGTACGTATCTCACTCACTGTGTAATGTTTACAATCTTTTTCCTTCGGCAGACTATTTCTGGACAGCAAGAGTCCCAGATCCCAGTGCCTCCGAGAGGGCCTGTACTGAAAGTCAGAAAATGTCTGATTAAGGATGCTGAAGGCTGAATCCTCACCTGGCCGGGCGGGTCCAAAGCAATACCTACAATGCCACGGGCACAGCTCAGACATACTGCGGGGTCAGTGCCAGGCCACCTCCTAAAGCCAGGGTCTCAATAAGCCTCTCTGCTGGTGGAGGGGCTTGTCTTCAAGTTGTGAAAAACACGTCTTTGAAGCGCAATAAAGCAAAGCTCAATAAAATGAGAGTACGCCCATAATCCAGACCTCGTTATCACCTAATGGGAAGAAAGACGCAAAGTTGTCCACTGATACGTCTGCTTCTTCACCGCTAGGGAATTCAGTGCCATGATCAAAGCCACCATTTCCTGTGACGCACAAGACACCAGACTGAAAGGGACCTTGTCCCAGAAGGTGCACACTTGCCTTGTAGCCTGCAGAGCCTGCAGTCCCCCTCGGAATGAGAGTCCTCTAACGTGGGAACTGTGACAGTGATCAAACAGAATGAAAGAAAACCGATTTTCTCTACGAAGAGGAAGATAAAGCCTCCTCCGTATCTCTTTCACGTTTCCTTTCGCACCTGTTTTTCCTTCTCGAAGCTCTTTTCCTGCACACATCAGGCCTGATGACAAGGAGCAAAGGACTAATGAAAGGGTCTTGAGAGCCTACTGAGCTAGATGAACTATGAATCAATGATGTGAAGGTAAAAGTTACTGTATTTCTGTACTAAAGCTCTAAAATAACTTAATTTCCAACTCAAGAATTCAACAAGGGTTATACTTTCTTTAAAGCATCTTATGAAAATATTGGATAGGCCACAGAACTGGAACAACAGAATGCTACAACTGACAAAAATTCCTCCGAAGAATAAAAGGACTTAGAAACATACGTCCACACAAGAAAAAGGAATAAATGAAAGGAACCTAAGATTACTGGCAAACGAGAGATGTTCTGAGGTTTGCGTCCAGCCTTTAGAGGTTACCAAAAGATAAACACATCCTTTTAGGACAAAAACAACAATGACAACAACACACACACAAAACCATCAGATCTTTTTCAATAAAGTCTTACTTGCCTGATCAAAACTTTCAATAGCTTATGAAAGGAACCTGGATTTGAATACCTTTTCTACGATTGAAATCACTGAAAAATGGCCCAGACGTTAAAAGGTCTTGGGGGCCTCCCTGTAACCACGGTCATGCCATGGGGAGGCTCTTAAGTCAAAGAGTCACGTGACCAGTCGCGGCCCTTACACGTCCGCAGATACAAACACCCTGGCACGTCCCAAGGCACAGAATCCTTAGGATCCGCCGAGTACTTTCACAGCACTTTGACAAACACAAAGCTGATCCTTAAGGGAAATTCTGATCCTTTTATCAATAAATGCTGTTGTCATTAATACTGCCACTGATGCATCCAGTCACATGTGCGTGTGTGCGTGTGCATGTGCACGCCCTCACCTAAGTCTGAAGGGACACACGCTATTCAGTGGTTATCTTTAGGAGGTGGAGTGAAGAGGGATTTTTCTTATAGTTTTCTGAATTATCTTGATTTTCTTCCAATAACTATTTTATGATTAGAAAAATATAAGCTTTTCCATTAAGAAATGAGATATAAATTATCAGTGTGTAAATAAAAAAGTCCATCGATACAGACCGACTTGGCAAGTCACTCTCACCTGCTTCATTACACAATGCTTTCAAGTCTGCCCCTACGTAGCCATGAGCGCTATTTGCCAGCTGCAGCAGCTCGGCCCTGGTGAGCGAGTGGGGGACCCTTCGAAGTAGCTTCTGGAGGATATCTAGCCGGTCCTGAGCACTGGGAACTCCGATCTCAATCTCTCTGTCAAATCGTCCGGGTCTGCGGAGTGCAGCATCCAAAGCGTGAGGGCGATTTGTGGCCCCGAGGACCAACACCTGTCCCTCACTTCCTTCCTAACAAAATAAAATGAAAACAACGTTACTCTTCTAAAAGTAATATATATAATACGTATTGTATTATAAACAACATGTTATATATGTAATACGTATATTATATAGACATACATACACACACGCTATATAATTAGACAAGGATGGTGTTAACTGTCCCGGCTGCTAAGTCTTATCCCTTAAACTTTTATTACTCAGCCCACATTTTCCAAAGCTTGGCCTAAATGCTCCCCACCTAGAAAGCTTTCCAATTCTTACCTCTCTATCTACTGTAAGCGGTGTCTCTCCCACTCCAGCATGTTACTCACACTATTGTAATAACGTAACGCCCTACCGTGTAGTTATTAAAACTTAACTATTTTGTCTTTTCTCCTACTTGAAAGCAAAGATTATGACCTACATATTATTCAAATAAAATTTTCTTCACTGCTTCATTTTTTATTTTGATAAATTTTTAAATTCCTGAAAATATTAATAGCAATATTACCGACACCCAAGTATCAGCCGCCCTTGAATACGTATGGACTTTTACTCTGAGAATAAAATTTGGAACAAATTATAAAGAACTGTGATCATGATCAGCCACCTATAGAAATTCCCCAACATTCTATTCAGACGACCTGAGAGTAATCTCACAGAGACGAGCCTCAACGGAATGCGATTCGAAGTAAGAAAGCTCAGACCTAATCCATTACACTGGATGTGCCAACAGAAAATGCATAGATTCTAATGAATCTGTGAATTATGAATATAGAAGACGAATACAGGCCCTTAAATATCTGCTGACTAAAACATCAGTATCACATGCTTCCCATCCTGGCCAAAGGCAGAACGTCAGTCCACAGCAGGCCTGGCCCAGTGGCAGAGAAAGCGGTAGCAGCAACACAGTGACTGAGACCTTCCAACCCAGAGCCTGCTGGCCGACCTCTTAATCACCAAGAATTCTAATTATAAGACAGCTCTCCATATATATTTGCCTTTAAGGTGAAAATAGAGTCACCCATAAACAAAGATCTGTGGTCAGCTAAATATTTATATTTCTTATTACAAATCAATAAACCGGTGCCCCGGTTTCTATGAGCTCTTGTGAGTGGTATTGTTGTGGGTGGGCCCTCAGAGCTGCGCCCCCCACCCCCATCTCCAACACACTAGCAACTCTGGCTTCTCCAGCTTTATAAACTGAGAACCAAGCCTGGGACATGACGATCACACTCAGGTACTGCCCCAAGACTGAGAACCAGGTAGCGACCCTTCGCTTGTTACTCTTAAAAACTGCAACGGATGTCAGCAAATAACAGAGATTTAATACCAAAGCTTCACATTGTTTTCACGTGTTCAGTTTCTACCAACAGGCAGTGCAAACCAAAAAGTTCCATTAGTCCAGTTTTTTAATGTGCAAAATGAGAACTTGATATTACGTTATAATTTCTTTTGGTTCTAACATATTATGATTCTAAAAAATGAATTATTTACAATCTTGCATAAGAAGTGTCTTCTGGTAAATGGCTGTCAAGAGTCTGAATTTTTATCATTCCCATTTTCTGTTAGTCCCAAGTATCTCCCTTTCATAATTAGCACACAGATTAACGTAAGTGAACACCCCGTCAGAGATCTGGTGACAAGGTAAATTCCTTTTAAATGTTGTACAAACACATTTTCCATTACGCTCACTTTCCTTCCTTTCATTTGCCAAACTTAAAGCCCCAGAAGAATTAAATTATACATGGGTATATAAGACTCAGTCATGAAATTTCTTTGTACAATCCCATTTAACAGCTACATCTTTCTGACCAGCTTTTGCTTCCGGTTTTTAAGTTACTACCATTTATTACAAAATAAATCCATCATTGTATATTATTTTATATGCTAGAAAAACATGCCAGGTTATACTGTCCTAGCAGTTATTAAGAAATCTGCCAAAGAAAATTATTTTATGGGCCTTTCCTCTAGTTTTTACAGTTAATATTTTCCCTTACACTAGAATACCCCCAAACTCAGACGTAGTTGATAGTTTTTGCTACTACACATGTACACGTCATTAAGGACTGACCCGTTCATGCACAGAACCATACTGGTGCCATACTTACTGAACCAATACCATCCATCAGGGTTAAGAGTGAAGCTACAACTCTTTTTTCCACTTCGTTCTGAGCCCCTTCTCTTTTAGGGCAAAGTGCATCCAGCTCATCAATAAAAATAATTGATGGGTGCCTAAAAACAAACAAGTTAAATGAATTATATACATTTAATTTTTAAGTGTGATATTACATTTCAATTAAAAATTGAAACTAGTTTTAATTCTTTAACTGAAACATGACATATCAAATTTAGGATTTAGTTAATAATATTAAAGACAAAGGCAATAGGATGCTAAGCTGAAAAAGCTTAGGTTAATTTTAGTCTAAATGAATTCACCAATATCACATTCTAGTGGATCTGCCCTCAATACACAGGACTGAGAACAGTCTCTTGCTCATGAGATGGCAGTCTAGGCCGAGACATAACTTGTCACTAGGCCCAGACATAACTTGCCACTAATGCCTACTAAACTGTCATGCCCGGATCGACTCACAACTGTGTTATCCCTCTGAGCAGGCTTAAACTCCAAGGAATAGAAAGTAGAAATGCTCTTTTTAAAAAAATTTTTTTTAACCCATTAAAAAAAGAACTTTCAAGATGATCAATTCTTCCATAGGGAGATACGAATTCTCTCACAAGAGTAACTCCCAACTACCAGGGACAACAAAAACATCCTAAACAACAAGGCACGGCCCTCGGTATTGGGGCTCCACACTACACATTTCATCCACTAGCACTGGAAAAAAGCACTTTAAAAATGGAAGTTCTTTTGATAAGAGAGCAGTAATTACAAGTTAAATACCAAAACGATGATAGAGATGTTAGACAGCCACGTTACAAATAATATTATTTTAGACCTGATTACAGACTACACTCTAATGCTCCTCACAATGCAACATGGTAGCCTAATCTGAGGAATAATCAATAGGAATCACTGCTAAAGAGCAAAATATTTGTCCCTGTGAATCAAAGTGTAATATAACAAAGTTTTAAGCATAAAAGGTTACTATAAATGCAGTCTAAGGGAACTAGATATAGTGGATACGCCTAACTACCCAAAAGAAAGAAAATCATAAATGTATATCTCAAAGTTACATGACTCAACAAACAACACTGTCTTAATTCTTTCACCTCATGTAATTTTTTTAAAACTGAGATGTAACTGACATATAACTTTTTATTAGTTTCAGGTGTACAACATAATGATTTGATACTTGTATATATTGTAAAGTGATCGCCACAAGTCTAGCTGACACCTGTCGCCATGCATAGTTACTTTTTTTCTGTAATAAGATCTTTTAAGATCTACTTTCTTTACACCTTTCAAATATGCAATGCGGTTTTATTAAGTATAGACGTCATACCATGCCTTACATGCCCAGGACTTACCTGTTTTCTAACTGGAAGTTTGTACCTTTGCTACCTCATGTAATAACTCAATTATCAAACTTCCCAAACAGCACTAGAGCGCTGCTGGATTTACAATCTAGTTCTAGTGCTGTCGCTACTAGTCTTGCACTATTCTTTCATGCTTCATATAAAGTGCTGGTATCTCTACTTTGATTCATACAGCTTCAACTACTAATTTCGAACATTAAAAATAAAGAATACCGCAGAGTGGCTTCAGCAAATATCTGACGTAACCTGGCTTCGGTCTCTCCATAGAATCTGTAATAAATAAAATACATTTAAGAACTAACGCTTACTATTTTTAAAGTTTTGTCTATTAAAGCTCATCTGACTTTTCAAATATTTCCAGAATACTTAAAATTACTTTCAAAAATAATTTTCCAAACTTAATTTTTACACACATTAAAAAAGCAAATTTAAACTATTTCAACATATGAAACATCCAGCCAGAATACTATGCAGCCATTTTTTAAAAACCACATTTAAGAGGTATATTTAATAACACTGTTTATTCTATTAAATAATGTACCTACTTGCTTATAATCTCAGGGCCATTTATCACAGAAAAGTAGGCTCCGACTTCATTAGCGACCGCCCTGGCAATCATTGTCTTTCCAGTGCCCGGAGGGCCATAGAGCAACACTCCCCTAGGGGCAGGAATTCCTACGAGAAGGAAAACGCTAGAGTCAGCATTACCGGTTTTTTCTAAGTGTTGTCATATGGCTTCAAACATGACTTCAAAATATAAACTTCTTACATCACAAAACTAAAGTAAGTCAGACCGCCTCGTTTCCCCCCAGAAAGATGTACTAACCAGCCAGACGCTGATCTCCAGCAGCGACTGTTTCCTTCTCTGCAGACCAAGCCAGGCCGGGCATTGGTAAAACACTGGCTGGACACTCCCACACTGCCAGCCCAATCCCACACTATCAGAAAATGAAGTCTGGACGACCAGGGCATAAAGCGAGACACCAATCCCAATTTTCATCGAACTAGACATGCTTGGGGAATGTAAGCATTACTAGCAAAATGTCAATCCCAGGGTTCCTTTTTTAAATGTATTTTTTATTAAATTCGATTGGGGTGGCATTGGTTAATAAAATTATATGGGTTTCAAGTGTACAATGTCATATGTATACTGCATTGTGTTCACCACCCCAAGTCAGATCTCCTTCCATCATGATACATTCGAACCCCTTTACCCTTAGCTACCTCCCCCCATCTCCTACCCTCTGATAACCACTAAACCGCTGTCTGTGTCTACGAGTTTTTGTTCATTTTACATATATAAAGATTCATGAAAAAGGAAAAAGCAGAGAAGGAGACGGTATTCAGCAAATAGATGCAGGGAACCTGGGCAGTCAGCACCCAGAGGAAGCCCTGAGTTTTCTAGGGCCAAGTCACTCCCTTGATCCCCTGCCACAATGCAAAGAGACCCGCACACAGCTACGCTTCCTAACCAGGAGGTTCTATCCAGTGTATCTGAGTGTTCGGTTTGCTTTAGTCATTACAGCTGATCTGGCGTGGTAAGATACTCATTCTAGATCCAATACTAAGGACTGCGCAAGTATGCAATTAAAAGGGACAAGGCTGCAACTAAGTCACATCACGACCTAAGGCGACCAACCACAGAAGCAGGCTCACTTAACTGGCATCTCCCAAGGGAATTCGCATGTCCTACCACAGCTACCACTCAGAAAAGGAAAACAGGAAAAGAGGGTGAGCGATTACCAGCGAGGTGGAAGGAGCCAAGTGCTTTTTAGTTTGAACTGAACCATTTTGGGTGCAAAACAATGAAGAAATCATACCATAACTCCGGAAAAGTTCAGGCTGTTTGAGAGGCAATTCAATTATTTCCCTGATGGCTTTCAGCTGACTATTTAAGCCTCCTATCATGTCATAAGTCACTCTGAATTGGTTGTCTTGCTCTTTGGAATTTGCACGAATCTTTGTAAAATTGACTCTGGTTGTTGAGGAAATAAAATAAAAAGTATCAGTGTTGCATTTTGCTCCCAAGCTGGCTGACTTTAGCAATCTCTCTTCATTGGTAAGCTGCTCATTTCCTTCTCCCGCAGAAGCAAAACTGCATTTAAGACTCGTGGTTTCCTCTAGCCCAAGTCCACTGCCGCCACCAGGGCTCTGTGTGACATCTGACGAAATGTCACCAGCTCTATTTGTCATTCTGTCATCTACTGGTTTGCAAGAAGTACTGCTCGATGTGGGGTCCCAAGGCTCTTCCAGACCCAGCTGGCTAAGCTGTAAGGACATGTCCAGGGTACTGGCTTCCATGCTGGACTGTTCGGAGGCCACTCCCTGGGCACCGGCCTCAGGGTCATGCTGACGCCTTCTCAGTATCGTGCCATCGGCCCCTTTCACTCTTAGCACTTGCAACTTGCACGGTCGTCCATAGAAGGTCACATACAGAAAATTGCCAGGTAGAACAATCTTGCCATCTAGAAAACAATTTGTTCAATAGATACGTTAGCACAATTTTCCACCCATGTAACGTTTAAATACCAATTGTTTTAACAAATCTGATTGAAAAGACTGAATCGAAGATAGGAGTATTAATAAAATAATTGTCATGAGAAATCAAGGACGCAACGTTCTCCTGGAGCCCCATCTGGAGATCGGAGAGGGACAAGATGCAACGTACATCTAAGATCCCACCAACTGTATCAACAAATGGCCAGACCTTCCACATTTGACAGTAACCTAACCTAAAATGCCCACCGAAACCAACATGCCAGGATAACGTTTCTTCCTGGAAAGATTAAGAACTCGAGGGCTCAAAGTCTCACTTCTACCCCTGACTTTGTCCACAGACAAGCCGTATATTCTCTCCACTGCTCAACTGCCCCTCAAGTAAATGGCGGGGAGAAAATACATCCCTACCTTAAAAGGACAGTAATTCTTTAAGGAGAATATTCTCTGCGTTTACACTATTTTGAAGAAAAATTTTAAGTACACAAGATCTCAAAGACATATTACTTTACTACTGCCATGCTTCTTAAAATTTGAAAAATTATTTTAAAAGTGTCTCACCTAGTTTCCTCAGAAGACACCCAGCCAATTGTTCTTCATTAATATCCACATTTTTGTCACTGGAGAGGGTGGCGGGAGTGGGGGAAATAGAAATAAACATCGAGTACACCAAAAACTAAAATATGAAATGACACATACATAGTTGTAATGTAGACCAAAACAAAAGCATAATTCATTTACAACCTGGAAATGATTTACACAATTTTGGAATGGTTTACGATTTTCAAATATTTCTTATAGCCATTAAAATGTCATTTTCGGTTTGGTGTGCCAGTGGTCCAAATTAGTGTTCTTCACAATATAGGGTACTCTCCATTAGTGGACCGTGAAATTATTTCAGTCAATCTCACCCCACACTTTTTTAAATAGAATACAAAATGTGAGAGTACGTCACATATAGAAAGGGTTTATAAATGTTGCTTTGTAAAACACTATTTTGTTATACATACACCTCTACATACTCGTGTGTTGTTTTAGAGATTATAAGCTACATAAAACATATATACTCATATATCTATGTTATATACATATATACACCCCTAAGATCCAAGGTTCAATATTTGCTAATTCAGTGTCTACGGCAACTCTGTAGAACACAACTACCACAAATAACAAGAATCAAGTGTGTATTCATAAAAAGGAGAGCGGGAAATAGAACAAGGAAATTTCATGAATCAAATGTATATACATATGAAAGAGAAGACTGGATCTCCCTAAATGCTTAAATTTACTCGATTATAGAATTCTGAAGTCAGTTATATTTAAATTGTTCCTATTTATTAAACTTTTAATAGAAGATATTTACAAATATATTCAAGAACAGTAAAAACACTCAACCAGTTTGCTTTTGAAAAAAGAATGGGTGCAGATAAAATCATTTCCACTAGAAGGAGCTCTAACCTTACTAATGAAATTTTTTAGACACAACTGAAGGATTTGAGTAACAGATTAAAATGATTGATTTTTCTTACTGGAAATTAAGTTTCTTATCTAAGCTCTGCTGACACATTTAAAACATGATTTTTTTTAAATAAAATTTTTAAAACTAAGCCTCCATTTAAAACATACACAGTCCCACCACAGTGGGTGATCATTATCACCTAAGACTGTTGTGCCCTCAAGAAGTCACATTAGTTGTGAGCAGGTCATCAAAAATCTAGTAACTGAGTGCTGTAACCGCAGGCCTGTTTGAAAACAGTCTGAAGAATAATCCTGAGCAATCTGAGTGGTAATACTAACCGACCCATACACGAGCTGGTTTCCTCATCTGTAAAATGGGGTAAGTATGGATACCTTGCAGGATGTTTAGAGGATGATTAAATGAGAAGAAAAAGTAAAAAAGCATATGTGTGTTTGTGTGCACGCGTGTACACGTGCTAGTACACAGCTGGTGCTCGATGTGTTGTGTCCCTTTTCCTTTCTGCCTTTTATTTAACCGTTCACTAAACCGTTAAATGCTCTGAAAACATCTTCTTGTTTTTAAAGGAAAAAACATGCCAAAGTTCAAGCTTCACATCTACAAAAGTAGTAAAGAGAGAAGAAAACATTTTAAAATCAAGCTAAACTGGAAAATGTTTTCTGCTTCTTACATATAAACACATCCCCAAAATTGTAACTAATATGATATTAAAGTACCAAAAGATGCTTTTTTTAAACAAACTTTGATAAGATTTTTATAGGCAAACAATCAAAATCCTGTTAGATACAAAATATCCAAGAGGAGGATGAGTGATATGCTTTAACTATTGTTAGGTTGAATCAAACAATTAGTCTTTGATAAGGGACTATTTAACAGTCTGATAGAAGCAACTTTCACTAGATCAAATTATCATTGAGTTAAAATATACAATCAGTTACTTTGCTCGAGTGGTTTTAATTAAAACTTGTTTCTTGCCTACTCACCGTAATCTACTCCCTTCTTTACAACTGTAAAAAAGACAAGAAGCCCTGATTATACTGCAGACCAAGATGAAAAACATTATTAAACATCCATCAATAATAATTTTTCTTGCCTACCATGTCAGGGCACACTCTAATCACAGGACATTAGCATCCTTAATCTCTAAGTTACATAGCAATCATTTAGCCTGTGCTGTCTAATACAGTAGGCCACTAGCCACTTGCCACTCACCACACTGGTCACCAAGTGCTTAAAATGTGGCTCGTCCAGATTAAGATGTGCTACAACTGTAACGTACATACTGGATTTTGAAGACTTAGTTTGAAAAAAAGAATGACATTTTACTAATAGTTTTTTATAATTACAAGTTAAAATAAAATTTTACATATAATAGTTAAATAAAATACATCATTACAATTCATTTCACCTGCTTCTCCTGACTTTCTAAATGTGGATGCTAGAAAATGCAAAATTACATATGTGGTTTACGTCTGTGACTCTCATTATATTTCTACCAGGCAGCGCTGATTCAGTCACCAGAGAAAGAGCCAAACCTGAGTGCCACGTCCATTTCCTCGGCCTGCAGAACAGCACCCAACAGAGGCTGGACCTGGATGGTGTCACCAACCCGGACACCCACGTTCTTCTGTGCTATATCACTCAGGCCAACCTTGCCTCCAGGAAATCCCGACACAGGCCAGGCCGTGTAGACCTGCCCAGAACACAGGAAATTAAAATGAGAAAATCAATATTCACCGAGTATTATTGACTTCTAAGACGGAAAACTAAGCACTGCCAAGTAAATGGATCTGCAACACACAGCCCTTACCCCAGAGGAGTTACAGTCTGACATGAGTTACCAAGAAAAGTTGTACAAATCGATCTTTCTGTGAAGATCAGGGACGATGGCAGTGAAAATGGTGGGAGACAGCACGACGCATTTAGGAAAGGAGACAAAGGCTTCGGCAGGGGAGAAGGAGAGTACTGAAGGCGAGCTCGGGGTCAGGGAGGCCGGCGGGACACAAACTGCATCGGGGAAACAGTGAGGGGCCTGGCACAAGAGTTTCGCGGGAGCGCGGGCATCAGACTTCAGAGTTAAGGGAGAGCAGTGGTCATTTCTAGCTCTGGACAGTGAGCTGAGCCTGCACATTTAGTCTTCTCTCCCACAAGACACAGGAAAGGATTTTGAAAAGTATAAGCTCAGAACAATGAAAAGAATGGGAGGCGTGCCAGCAGCGATAAGAGATATCTTATCGAGACCTTTCCAGAGGGCCCCAGAGGAGGAGAGAACACCCAGTAATGAAGCAGAAGATACGGCAGGGGCAGGGGCTGGCCGCAGAGAAGAAAGCCAAGCTGCCAAACGTGACCCAGAAAAAGGTCTGGGCTGACAGTCTCAGGTATGATGAATGGCAGCGGGGAGAGGCACAGCTGAAAACGGGGAGGGTAATCAAATATTTGTGCGACTCGAAACAATATTTCTGTAGAGGAAAATCACAAAGGAGAACTAGGGACGACCGTGTGTGTCTCCCGACCTCCCCAGGAAAGGCCTCTCTAGCGTATGACATCTGGGGACTATATTTCCATCATCGTCGCAGGCATCAAAGGAAGGAAAGGTTCATACAGACGTGAGGGTCTTTTAAACTATAGTTTTTTCATTTATTCCTGTTTGTGTTGACAATTAAAAACAAAAACATCTCAAATCTTTGTAAACTAAGGAAACGAAAAAGGCTCTTACCTCTTGCTTTCCATGCAGACTGGTGAGCAACACTGGGCGACCTATACATATATTTGCAGACTTCATGGTGCTGAGTCCAAGTTGAACGAGGGAATTCTGGAATTTTTTAGGAACTTTGTCATCTACCAAGAAGGAAAAGAAAATCATTTTTGTACTGTTCTGTAACTGAAGCTAAAGCACGCTTTCTTTGGGAGTAAATAAAAATCCTCTGCCCATATAACCACACGAATGCACTCACCATGCCTTGGAGAAACCACTGTTCTCATCTTTCTTATTTTAACAAAGACTAAAAACCAATGCTTTTTGAGGATCCGCTAACAGCGCAAGTGCTAACCAAAAGATGTTTTACGGAGTGGGTACTAGTTTTTGTTATTTAAAAAAATGTCTTTAATTTCATTGAACACACTTGCACCAGAGACCCTGGGTTTCCATACTCAATTCCAAGCCAAGTCGGTTACTATGCAAAGGCTTCACCCGGGGACCGGGGACGTTACCGGACTAGAGGATTAAGACACATCTCCACTTCTGACCCACATGACAGCAAATAGACATCTCTCTTCTCCGTGCCCAAGGGCGGGCGGGCACACTCACACCGACTGAAACGGCCCCCCGTGATGTCCACTTCCGGCCAAAGGGGCCCAGAGTCCAGCCCAGTTAGCGACACTCCTGAAAACGCCACAGCACCAAAAGCTCCAGCCCGCCTCACCCACGCCCTCGAGCTCCATCTCTGGTCAGCTGTCCATCCTGATTCTCCCGGCGCCTCACGCTGCCAGAGACCAGTATTTAATGTCACGATGTTCATGTGCCTCACAGTGTGACTTTCTCCAGAACGATACGCTGCTTTGGGGCAGGAATTGAATCATATTTATCTTTGTGTCTCCAGTGCCTGGGAATGCATCAAATATAGCAGCTGCACATTAAATATCAGTGAAATGAATGAATGTAGATGAGAAAAATAATATTTTTCTTTTCAGCACAAAATCCATGAAACACTTGATAACATTTTAACCTGCCACAAACTTCCTCATAAGATTTATTATAAATATCACGATCATAGAGCTAATATTAGCATTCTCTAATAATCAGAAAAACAGCTTTTGTAATTAAACAGTAATTAAGTCAATGAAAGCAAAACCAAGAGATGTGTCTAATTTATTTTACTCTCTGCCACTACAAAATAACTTCCCAATACGTTTAGTCTCCTCCTGACATCAGATAAATGAATCTAGAAAAACTAAGCATTTCACAGAGCTAAGATTAACGGTACTGAGTATAAACTAAAATGAGAAATTAAAATGTCCCGTGAACATCAAGTCTTTCATTCAGTTTAAGCATCAATAACAGCAAAGCGTCCCATTCGATGACCTCATCATGTTCCATTTCTGCCACTTCTTTCTTCCTGAACTTCCCCTTCCCTTGGGACATTCCCTCCCAGGTGTATCGGTCCTCAGCAAGACTCTAGGTTTTCTTCTCTTCCCTCCATCCCATCCTGCTCAGTTTCACCACGCACCAGGGTCTGACAAATCACTAGCGTCCCGAAATACCACCGCTTCCTCCCTATCACTCATGGAGATCAAGGTCAAATCCCGTCCACTGGCCTGATTTCCCACGCGCCTCCACTGTACCCTCTACTTACGACACGCAAATCTACTCAAGCTGCCACATAATTCCTATCACCAGCCCTCATTCCTCCAACACTTTAAGCTTCACATTTACTGGGCACCTTATGCGCCAGGTTAACTAATGAGGTAGTAGTACAGGTAATGTCAAACAACCACCCACTCTTCCTTTGGTCATTCAGCAAATATTTACTACGCGCCTACTATACGGCAGATCCTACGCTAGACACAGGATACAAAAGCGGACACAGTCTTTGCCCTCATGGAGCTTACAATCTAACAGGATAAGACAGTTATTAAATGATCACTGAATAACTGCATAATTATAAACTAAGATTAATGCAATAAAAAAAGAGGAAGGCCTTTACTGTGAGATCTAACTTGGAAGAATAAGAGAATGCTTCCCCAAGGACGTAATGTTTCAATTCAGATCTAAAGAGTAAGAATCAACTAAATGAAGAGGAAAAAGATACTTCTCAGCAAAGAGAACAGCCTGTACAGGGGTCCTGCGAAGGAGGGAGCACTGCATATCCAGGGAGAGGATGGGCAGACAGAAAAGTGGGAGACAAGGGGGGGCCACATGAAGGTCAAGGCTGCCCAGAGCAGCAGGCTGTCAGGCTGCTGGTCTTTATTCTAACACCGACTGGAGGCCAGTTAGGGGCAAAGAGCAGGGTGATGCAGTATCTTCATGTTAAAGATCATTCTAGCTGCAAAAGTACAAAGGCTAGTGCAGTGGTCCAGGTGAGAGCGGATGCTGTCTGGGATTAAGCAGTGGGAACAGAATGAAGAGGAGGAACATGGGAAATACTTAGGTGATTAAAATATTTAGGTGAAAATATTTGGTGATGGACTGAACATGTAAGAAGTGAGAGATGTGTCACGGGTGACTCCCAGGTTTCTGAAGTTTGAAATGGGAAAAACTGAAGAGGGCTAGAGTTTGTTTTGTTGGAAGAAATGTAAGTTCTTGAGGTCAGTCTTGAAGTACTTTAGAAAAATCCAAGAGAAGTGGCATAGCGCGCTATTCAAAGTGTGGTTGGCAAACTATTTGTTATTGGTTCGTGACAAGGTAAGTATAGAAAATTAGAATAAACGTTTAGAAGCTTTAATTGCAATCTGACAGTAATTTTACATCTGTTGAATCGAATAAAAATTTCTATTTTTAAACCTTTTTCTAGTAAATTATTTTTATTGTATTTTACGACGGTGCTGATCTGTGATATATTGTAAATTTTAAAATCTCTATAGCATTTGATAAGCAGTGGTCTAGAAGACAACTGACTCAAGACTTAGAAATAGTATATATTAGGAATGTATATGAGGGTATAGATGGGAAACTGGGCAGTGAATGAACGTGCCAAAAAAAAAAAAATTATAAAGAGAAAAAGACGATTTCAGGACTAAGAACTGAAGAACTTCAACAGCTGACGATCAGGTGGGAGAGAATGAGCCTGCAAAAGAAACTGAGGAAGTATCAACAAAAAGATGAAGAAAAACTAGAAAAGTTTAATGACACGTAAGCCAAGAAGTAAAGTGTTTCGTAAGAAATGAAAACCTGTCCACTGGATTCTCAACATGGAGATGGGTGACCGTGGCAGGGGCAGTGTCCAGGGAATGGCGGCTGGAGGTCAAGGAGTACGTCAGAGATGAGGAGGCAGGGACCGCTCACTCCATTTAAGAAGTCTGGCATTGAAGGAGTGGAGAGATAGGGTGGTGGAAACAGAGCCTTTTTGTGTGTATGTTTTCAAGATGGAAAAGAAATCAGTAAGTTTCAATGTCAACGTGAAGGATCCACAAGAAAAAGGGAGTAAATACACAGGACAGAACATGCTGTTCTGATCCCCAAGGGAGATTAAAAACTCATGTTAACTCTTAAGACTGTCTTTAGGGTCTGCATAAGACACAAAAATTTTGCTACGTTTACTCGGATCCCTTTTTCAAAGCTATAACCCATAGCACCTTCACCGATAAATGACTTTTCATATAAATCGCTTTTCCAACTCAAGGGAGCCATGATCTAGGATAATGGCTTTAGAGTCAAATACATCTTAACTCGAATATCGCCTCTGCCGTTTTGGACCTGTGAAACGAGGTGAATCCCATTAACTTTTCTTCCTCTGCAAAATGGACAAAAATAATACAGTACCATCTCCCAGGACTTCCGTGAAGGTTAAATGAGATAACTATGTGACATACCTCACCTAGTATGTAATTAACGGCTGCTAGTAAATACCAGAACTTGTGCAGAGGTAAAAGAAAAAGCCACCTTTTTCATTCCTAAGGCTCAGGGATGTCTCTTAGGAAGCACCCGCATCTCTACCGAACTGGGCATTTAGCTTTGTAGAATCCTACGCTCGCTAGACAGGAGCAATTTTGCCGTTGACTATGTCGTTAATTTTATATGAGGCAAAGTTGTTTCACGTGCGACCTGGAAATTCAAAACAAGTTACAGAAAACAAACCCCCCAAACCGTTGACCTAGCCACGGATCAACCACTTCTGCCTGACGTCTCGGTGCAGGCGCGGCTCCGGGTGGCTGACATCCTTCCGTGCCCCTCTCACACCTCCGCGTGGCCTGACTTTCAGAAGCCCCTGCACCCCGAGGCGGACCCCTCGGTCTCCGCCCCCTCAGGCGGCGCCCCTCCGGCCTCCGGCAGCCCGCCCGCAACTCTCACCTTTTTCTAAGAAGTTGATCACCGCCAGAGTCCTCGCCGCCTCCGCGACGCCGGGCTCGTCAGGAGGAGCCGAAGCCCCCTTAGGAGAGGGAGCCGCGCAGAGCGAGGGTGAACCATTGTCGGCGATCCTATTGAGCCGTTTTCTGCTCTTCTTGGAGGACATGATCAGAACGCAGCCTGGGAGTTGAAGCAGTAAAGCCGGCTCAACGTGCGCGCTTCACCGAGGGAAAAACTTCCGGGGCAGAAGTCAGCGAGGCTCCACCCCCCCTGTGCCGTAATCCTCCGAGCGGAGCGCATCTGGAGAAGAACCGAGCGTCTTCGGGATCCGCCGTCTTTGAAGAGCTTGAAGAGGTTTTCCTGCGAAAGAAGACGGATTAGGTGGACGGAACCGTCATTTAGATTGTACATTCCTGAAAGACAAAACCTTTTCGTATTTCCAAGGCCTTCCCTATCCCTGAACACACGTGTGTTGAATTAAACTATGAGGGGAGGGCGGGAGAGCGATGGGAAAGTTTCTCCCCGCTTTCCCGGGGCCGGGCAAGTTCCTGGGGCGGGCGCGTGGACCGGACCTCGCGGTCTCTTGGATGCAGCGCTACAAAGCAGGCAGCCCAGCTCGACTCTGGGAAGGGTGGGTGGCACGCTTCTAAAGTTTACGGTAGCGCGCTCCGCCAGGAGCACGGGGGCGGGGCGACTGGGGCCGCACGAGCGCGGCGG